TATAAATGGAACGCCCCATTTAGAAGTAAATCGGCGAAATGCAAAAAGAAATGAACGGGCTGTCATGTCCGAGGTTAATTCTACATGTACTGCCCAAGTCATCGCACAGGAAAAAATGACAATATGAAGTTTCGCCGACGGTTGAGTAGAGAGGCAGTACAGTGGGCCGCAAAAGTCTACTCCCACGACGTCGAACGTTGACGCCTCTGTTATGGGGTCTTTTGGTAATGGTGCAACCAGGACCAGTGCTGGACGCAAACATCGGTGATGACATGCCAAGCACGACTGAAGCACCCTTTCAACGGTTCGTATGCCCTTTAAAATCTAAAATCATTATTGGGGGTCCAGCAGCGTAACTTGAACATGGGCTTATAGAAGATGGACATGCATTGCCGATATCAGGAGCCTTGTAAACACGTCATTTGGTAAAAGGATTGGGTGTTTAAGCTCCTCTGTTTCATTATGTTCTAGTAAGCGGCCTCCAACTTCGAGACACCTATCCTGGTCAATATCTGGCCTTAACGTCAGAACACTGGAATCTAATAGCAAAGGCTGGCCTGCCTGACGCGTAACTACTTTTACTAGGAAGGCGGTTTTCTGGAAAAATTTGAGCCAGTATAGCTCCATGTTATCTATTTCCAGGGACGTCTGCGGCCCAGAGAAGGATATCTGGTTTTGGGAGGCGTAGCAAACGAACCTTGAAATTTAGGTGGTTATTATGAGGAGCCTGGAGAATGAGCTGTACTTCTCTAGGTCCAGTAGTGGTGTCAGTGAATGCATGGCTTGCGGTGAGACTTCAGTTGGCAGCACACGGCCGCCAGTTCGCTGTTGAGGTCCTGCACCGTCAGTGCAGGGCAAGGATTCAGAGGCCAGATGCCTTCTAGTTCGGCCAACCAAGGAGGGCCAGTACACCACTTGATCTCTTGTATTATTACCGCTGCGGATATTCCGCACGTCGGAAGGTCTGCTAGATTGTCTGCGTTTGCGCAGTGCCCCCAAGTGTAGCCTCGAGTCAAAGTTCTGAATCTCTTGCACGCGGTTCCTTACGAAGGTCTCAAATCGGTGAACATTGCCAGAGACCCAATGTAGTGCAATCATTGAATTCATCCAGAAGGAGGTGACCCATGATGAGAACTCGGGCATTTTCTGGATGTAATGCCATAACTTTGCCACTGAAAGACACCCAAGAAACTCTGAACGCAGTGGAGGAATTCTCTTCAGTTGTGCAGAACGAGATTTGCTCATGAGGAGTCGCGCCGTAATACGGTCGTCTTTTAGTGGTTGGTGCACAAACACGGCGATTCCATACACATGAGGGCTGGCGTCACCAAACAAGTGAACTGTAGCGCGTCCATGATCTTGCAATGCAACAGTGAGAAAACGTGGAATGCAAATAGTAGACAAAACAGGCAGTTCGGGTACCCGTTTTTTTCATATTTTCTCAATGTCATGTGGAAGAGGCTCGTCCCAGTCGATGTCATGTCATCAATACCACTGGAACAGGAGTCGTGCTGTCACGTGAAATGGAGCGATGAAGTTTAGCGGGTCGAATAGCCTAGTTTCGCAAAGGCTTGCAAAACGCTTCGCTTCGTCAATGCTTCGGTTGCAATGAATGCGAGTATGGCTTGTGTAGGGACGATGATGTGATCTGATGATGATCCCAAAGTAGACTAACCACCTTAGACTTGGAGCTCTGCTTGGTAACATTCTAGAGTAGAGGCCATCTTTCAAGAACTGGGCGCATAGAAAGCGAGAGTTGGAGTTTCACTTTCTCAATTCCATTCCTGCATCGGCAACGATAGCATTCGCCTCCTCTTCGAAAGACGCACCTATGACTAAGTCGTCCACGTAGAATGACCGCTGCAGATGGGCGGAGATGTCCGGGTGTTTAGTCTTCCATGTTTTGAGGTGGTGCTGCGGAATTGCTGACAGCAAGAACGGGCTAGAAGACGCTCGCTCCAAAAGAGACCCGGGTCATTGGCACTCTACGATTGTCGGGACGGCATGACCAGATGTTGGGAGTTGGTCAATTCACAGGAAACGAAGGGCATCTTTGTCTTCTGGTCAGATGCATATCTGGAAGAATGCCTTTCGGATGTCTGCAATAAAAACGATTTTGCTGCTCCTAAACTGCAAGAGCAATTGCAGGAGTTCAGGACCCAACTTGATGCCTTTATTGAGCATGTCATTCAAAGACAGTTCACCGTACTCATGCGATGAGGCACCGAATACGACACGTACCTTTGCAGTCACAGTCTCTCGTCGGGCTACCACATGATGAGGCAGGTAGTAGACGATGTGTCCAAGAGGTGCTGACGGGGCTACTTTCTCCGCATTGCCTTTCTTGAAGTTCTCGCTGATGGTGGCATGGTATTGCTGCAGAACCTCTGGGTGATGCTCGAACTGCAGAAGCTGACGCTTGAGCCTGGTTTCGGCCACATTTCGGTTCGTACAAGACGTGAGACCTGGTGCCTTGATCGTCAGCGGTACATCCTAGCGTCGTGCACTCTTGCGTACTGCGCTACGAAAGTGAAAGATTTCAGGGTGCTTCATGACGTCGTCTTGTCCGTCAGTGACACCGATAGCGTCCAAGCACCAGATGTCTGATGAGTCTCCAGGTAGGACTTCAGTGCACCAGTTGTCGGAACAAGCCAGGAACAAGGCAGTGGCACTGATGTTACCCGGTGGCAACCTATGGTTGACGTGAGCGCATACATCTTGAATGACTCAGCCAAATATGGTCTCAACTGCACACAGAGTCTCGGTGAAACGCTCGAAGTGCCCGGTTACTACCCTCCAGTTGTGGTCTGAGCCTATCAAAACGCTTATCATGGAGTCTTGGGGTTGGTCCCCGTGAGGTTCATCAGCAAATGCCAAATCGCGGTCATGCATCATAGCGATAACGCTGGGCTGTAATGTTTGAACATTTACGGTGCAGACCTCTGGCATGTCTAGAGCTTCAAGATCGAGGTCTATAGGCTTCATACGTCCACAAAGCGTGACTTTTACTCTTCGGCACTGGTAATGTCATGGATGATTTAACTCGCCGAACGTAAAAATGTGCACCTCTTCAGTTCCAGTGAAAAATAGGCGAAGTTGCTGTGATAGGTCCTTACGGACGAGCAATCGTTGGCTGCCAATGTCAAACACCAGTTGCACTGGTATGCGCCAACGTGCTCCGAATGGCCACACTGTGGCTGTTTGGATTAACACAGGCAACGAGCGTGTGCTGCTTGCGGGAGCCGTTCTTACGCGCTTTTCTCACTGTGAGGACATCTCTTGGGGTTCAGTTGGAGTCAACTGTAGACTGTCAGTTCCTCGTTGGCCCCAGATCTCGCACAGAGCAGGGATATGGTGTCCTAAGCATCAGTCGCACTTAAGCTAGGCTGCGGTTTTGCAACTGTGAGCAATGGTCCCTTGTTTCTCGCACCTGAAGCAGCTACTGTTGCTGGAAAGACGTTGGTGCTTTTTTTTTCTGCTGATAGCACGACCCAGCAATCACACGTGACGTGTCCTGAGATGCCATAGAGGAATCATATTGTCTGTCCCCGTCTTGAATGGGCACCTGGTGATGATAACCGTGCTGTCAGTGCTAGAGCAGACGGTAGATGAGGTGGTAACATGTCCGCAGCCTTGCAGTTTGTTGACGTTCTTCCTGAAGTCGTTTTCTCGCGTGACGCTCGACTCTCCTCTGTACTTTCGACTTCAACTTTAAGGAACTTCAGAATTGTTTTCACTTGCTCGTCTCTCGACTGGACTATGGGGTCCATGGAATCTGTCTAGGTTTTCATGCGCTTTCGATTCTGGATCGCCAGATCCTCTGGCAATGAGTGCACCAGAACTCGATGCGAAAGAACGGTGTACTTTGAAGATGACATAGCAAGGCCTTCCAAACATTGGCTCCTGAATTGTATTTGCTCATACAGGTCCCGCAGCCTTGATACTTGCGATGATGTCTATATTGGTTCAATGGCAAGGAGGCTGTCAATGTGGTCGTCAATGAGGAGGCCTTTTCGGCAAATGATGTTGTAGTTCGCTTCTGTAAGGCGTATCCCTTTAATGACCTGCTTTGCAGCCCTGGCCAAGTACGTCTTTTGGTACTTGAACTTCTTGATACCGGTGAGATCGGGGTGCGTGTCGATCCCTTGCCACTCATGGTTCTCGTAGCCTGCTGTGGGCGGCGAGGTTTTGGCTGGCGGTGTCCGAGTGAGCAGCTCCCATAGAGCTGCTGAATCCAATACTTGTACTCAGACATCTTGGCTGGTTCGTTTTGTTGATGGTCAAACCAACCTGGGCACGTGTAATTGCAGATGAAAGCCTGCTGATGGCCTTCATGATCCTCTCTGGTAATCCAAAGCGGCCACACTTTCCGTGTCGAACTCTTCATCATCTAGGGTGTCACCGATCTGTTTATCCTGTTCGGCGTGAGCTGTGTCCTTGTCGCAAAGCCCATCAATAATTTCCTGCATGTTGGCAGAAGTTGGCAATATGTCTTGCAGAATAATCTCCCTGGTCTCAGACGGAAGTCGTGTAGTGGAACTGTAAAGAGCTCCTTGATGTCTTCGTAACTTGTCCCTTCTTGGTACTGGATTGTTGCGGAGAATGTCGGCCTTCTCCCGGGTTTTCGGCGCCAATAATGCTGAGACACAAAAGAGACCAATATTTGCGTTTCCTGGTATAACCATTCCTTTTCTTCTCCTTTATTGCGTGCTCACGTGCCGCCCTGCCCAGCACTCGCTTGTTCGCGAGTCTTGTGCGCAGGATAGCGTTTCTCACTAACATTTTTCCGCGGTAAATTCAGCAGTGTTTATTGTGAATTTCATTTTACTTAGCCTCCCATTTTATTTTCTTGGCTCATTTAGCTGTACTATTTACTGAATGTCAGGTGTCATTGTCAGCTCCTTACAGGAAATTTTTCGAAAGAAAGCTGGAAAAATTAACAATGTAGTTTGCTAATTTTGCATGAGTGTTGGAGAATTCATGAAAGTGATGAACTGCAGGTGCTGTAAGCTTGGTGCATCCTTTGGACCGGGAGCAGCAGGATAAACACAACTTCACAGTGGCGGTATTGGACCATGGCCAGCCACAACATTTTGCACTGCAGCCGGCCACTGTCACCATTTATGTGTCGGATGTCAACGACAGTCCTCCTCGATTTGAGCGTGAGCTGTACAATATTACACTCCTGCTACCCACATACGTGGGTGTACTTGTGGCCCAAGTGGCTGCCCATGATCCAGACTTGGAAGGGCCGAACCTGCGCTACTCACTGGTGGCTGGGGATCACGAAGGCCACTTCGAGGTAATCATCATCACATTAAGTCAACAGCATGACCTCTTTTCATGAGTCTTTCATTTTATCCCTTGTGGGATGCCATTACCAGCTGTAAAGTTGTTTGCACCTTGTGGCGAACACGTGTCTCGCATGCAATTCATCATCATTATTATGGTTAGCTCGGTAGCCCCAGCAGTGATGCCTGGCGGTGAGGTTGGGTGGTGCCTCATGAGAAATGAGAGGCTCTTTTTGGCTTGGTGGTGGCTGGCATGGATGGTCGTCTCCTGTATGGCGGGTCGTACTTCGTGCGTTCCTTGCAGGGAGTCAAACATCCTGATGCCATCTTTGCATTACTATTTATTTGTTATGTTGATTGACTGTATTGGAATATTGTATACAGTTGTGTTTTAGCGTGTCATTAGTAACTTATTTGATTTTGCTGACAATATCTTTGCTGTAAAAGTAGTTAAATAAATATTTTGTTTGGTTTAGTTCGACCGGGTCCGCCGTCTCGATGTGTTCTGAGACCGTTATTAATTACGAGACCCCACACCCTCTATCATTTATGTTTCATCACTCTAACTGACTGTCAGTTAAGGAAGAAAAGCGATTTGGGCTAGTTGGTTAAAGGACATTGAGCTGCCGTCCCTCTTTGCCTTCCGTTCTTCACTGTGTCAGCTTTCCTTCAAGGAGTGGCAACAGCAAATTTGTGCATCTTTGACACGCCGTCTGGTTGCAAGCAGCACTCGCAAGGTTGCCGGACTGCAGGCGGTTGCGCAGGACCGAGGCATTTCCATCGGCAAAGATGTCATGACCACTTTCCTGGCCAGCGGCGAAGATGATGTTGCAGCCGCGTGTTACATAACTTCTGCTGCGTACACTCAGAACACTCTCGACAGAATGTTGCTGAAGGACAAAGGGAAGGGAGCTATGGGCTCAACGCCTATGTGGTACGATGTTCATTACGACTAGCAAATACATGGCGGTAACTGAGACTACAAGTTCGAATAAACAAAGGTTGCCTTTCTTAGTTCATGCCTTATAACATAGATATGCTAAGTTCAACCACTCAACGCCACGATTCAACGGATTTGTCTCCCATGCAAGAGATAGCTCCGCAGAGACTTAGCCCTAACGCATTGCTTGACAACAACTGGCATCCACCCAGCAAAGGTGCATAAGACGTGGCTGCGAGGAGACATCAGCTTTGTAAGGGGGCCCCACTTGCTTGTCGCACGTAGGAGCAGCTTACCGAGGGATCAGCATCCACCGTCTCAGACAGTTTCACAATGGCTCGATGTCGGGCCGCAAGACAAAACAGCAGTGGCACCTGAGTCCCTGAGCCAGAGAGATAGACGAAGCTACATTGAAACTTCGTTTAGACGTTCCCTGGTTTCGTGATATCCCGCATTTTACGACAAATCGATTTGCTTGTGGCAAAATCCTTACGGAAATAATGCATTAAAAACCTTGGTTATACGACGCAGTTTTACGCCAATTCCACATTTCACGACAGCTTTCAAATTTCGTTCTACAGAAAAAAAGCCATCTTTACTCGAATCAGACGTCGAGCAAATATTCACAAGTGCAAAATATGAACTTGCATTCCCCTAGGTTGACGATTGGAAAGGCAAAGAGAGACGGGATATTTTTAGTATGGAAAGTTTATTCTCCTGAAAGTTCATGCACTTCTACATACGCCTCGATGGCATGTGTAATTATCCGGGATCATTACCTAGTCAAGCTTTATCCACACAGAGTGGCTTCAGCTGGCCGAAACGCTGATATTTTTATGGTTTCTGTCTGTGGAAACTTCCTGTTTTATAGACAGCTCGTCTCCTACCTTTGTCGCACTAGCAGTTACAGGCTTGGCGTAGAGAGCAACGCAGCTGTTTTCACCGTGCAGAATTACTTTTACTTGACATGAATGTTCATACTAAGAGTGGGACACCACTAGTTGCACTTCACTAGGCAACAATTTATGTCCATAGCTCAGTCGCGCACGAAGGAATTTTATGGAAGCTCGTGTTCAGTCGTCATTATGTGATAGCGATGACACTGTGTCCGACTCTTTTGACGGAAGGCTGTTGGCAACGTGGTTTCGGTTTCGTTTTCATGCGGAAGAAATTTTTGGGCTTTATTTATTAGTAGAAAGATGCGCGACAGGTTAGATTTTTTTTTAAGGTTGAGAATGATTTGCTCGCACCTCCTCCAACTATGTAATGCAGCCATTAAGTGCCATTGGCCAGAATAATTTAGTCTACCTTTTTTTCAGTGGCACAAGGTCGTGCTGTGGGCTTATTTAGGCACTCTGTACCCATTTTTTTTTGGGTATGGCTGAGTGTCACTGCCTATATTCTTAGTTTTTAGGATTATACAACGCCCGGCTTATACGAAGAATTTGCAGGGTCCCTTCAAAATAGTATAATCGGGGTTCCCCTGTATTTACAGAAAACTCGGACTACCTATGAAGCTTCCATACTCTCTGCTGTGGCATTGACCGCAATTAACACGCTCTAAAACTTGCTCTCCTTAGGAAACAGACCGCATGGCTCTCCTACCAACAACTCAACGACGTTCTTAAAAGAAATGCACTTGCAAAACAAAAACAAAAAAACTCAACTTGCTAACAAGTTCAAACACACCACAGCAACCAGTATTCTCACTCTCAAGAAATCATGCAACCGACGCTAGTGATGAGTCCTCCCTAGACCTACGGTACTTCACCCTCTCCCCTCCCCCAAAATAATAAAACCACTAAACCTGTTGTCCAAGGCTCGAAAAGCCCCACGTTGGGCAGCCAGTATGGAGTTTCAAAGTCTGCCGCTCACTGAAACACATGAACGCAGTAGACACCAGTTTTTGTCAGTTGAGAGAAGCGGTGTATCGTATTTACTCGAATGTAACTCGACCACGATTGTAACGCGAGGGGTGACTTTTCAGTGCCGAAAAAAAAAAGAGAACACGAATGTAACGCAAGTAAAGCGGGGGAAAAAATTGCCTTTATTTGCTGCACATGGTAGTGGCAAAGACATCCCAGTTTCTAAATATAAAGTGAGTTTTGTTCATTCGTCGCTTTTATCGCCGGTGGTCAAGCCCTCTTTGTCACTTTCTTCCTCCCTGATGAGGTCATCCTCCGTGCCATTCATATAGTTCGATATACCGATATAGCCTTTTCGGCCGGGCTCACTCTTGAAGAGCGCTTCACGCTGGAGCCTCCACCCACGGATAGTAAATTCCGCCACATCTAGCCGTCGAGCCGCGGCTGAGTTCCCGATTTCATCAGCCATCAGTATTGCACTTCTCTTAAAGCGGGCATAATACTGAACTCGTCGCGCTGCCATTTGCTCGAGCTGAAGACGCGGAAGCACAAAGGAAGTGAACCGCCTGCAAAACACGTCGCGAACAATAAGATTGGATTGGATTCGATGTTGCCAGCACGCATATGTTGCCAACACAAGGTTGAAAGATCACTAGGTTTGTTGTAGCCATTTTAAGGAACCAGTGGGGCGGCACCGCCAAGGCACGATTTGAGGTGATTCTATTATAACGCGGACCCCCAAATCACTTCAGAGAGATTTTGAAAAAAACTCGCGTTACATTCGAGTAAATACGGTATTCTGTATTTTCTCGTGATGTCATTTTGCGCTAAATCAGCATGATAGATTATCACTAACTAGCCTGCTAACGCATTCTGTTGAATGGATACATATATGCACTTGCTTTTACAATGTCAATATTTTCAGCCGAATCAAATACCTTTCAAATGATGCAATAAACAACCTTATACAATATTCTAGTACAATCCTTAAACAACATGACAACAAGATACTATGAATGCAGCGTCGCCTACAGTCAACTCACCATGAGAGAGCTATTGGAAACAACTTGCGGTGTCATCGATGACGGACCTCGCAGGAGAAGTCTATTCACGGTGTGGGATCTCGAAGTGGAGAGAGCGCCTCGCTCTTGGAATGAACAGATACAGTAGACGTGGTCGCAACGAACCAAACGACACAGATTTATTTAACTACCCTTAGAATGACGATATCGCCAGCCGAATTTTCATACAACAATTGTGATCAACACACTAAAACAGCCTAACACAAAATTCCAAAAAACATAACAAACACGAGAACGCACTCATGGCAGCTTTGCTAACGCTTGACTTACCACTAGGGCCCCTGGCATGCAACCCGTGGTGCCGCGCACCAGAGTCCCACCGCTACAGATAATGGTTCACGCCAACCGCCACTTACCAAAGAGACCCACTCATTTGTCCCGTGCCGCCACCAAGGCTTGCCGCCGTTCTAACCATGATGATGATGGCGGTGATAAACGCTCACGAGCACCATGCCACCTACCGCTCAGTAGTTGTGAACCCGAAATGCGGCCAATGTGCAAAACACATGGGCCACGAGGTGCAAACAACATTACAGGGGATGTTAGCACCCCCACAACGCCAACCACATAATGCCAGCACTCTCTAATCACTTTTGTGCACCCACCTAGTCTCACTGTCCGTTGGCACTGCTGGCACTAACACACTAATCAGTGAGGATTATCATGATCCTGTACGAGCACAGTGCCACCTTCAGCTCGGTGGCTGAAGGTGGCGCTGTGTGGCACTGTGTGGAAATGTCTTTACATTATGTTGTGCCATGGCCTTGCCATCGGCAATCGTCGTTCTGTGTAAAGCGACATTCCGAAGCGGCTTCAACATAGTAGCGGTGCGGCGAATTCTGCTGGGCTGTTGGCTCGCTCGCCAAGAACCCTTTAGACACACCTGACCAATGGGCTTCCCCAAAGGGGCGGTTACAGTCTAAGCTGTCATTTCCTCTGCGTTGCTTGGGCTGTCAAGTCACATCAGACAATGGACTGAGCATCTGGGCTCGGTCTGGGCGAACATTTCTCACATTCCTTACTGCATTCTTGTCTTCGGGGCATGCCAGGAGCTAGCAGCTATTGGTGATCAACCATGAATCTTGCCAACTGGATCGGTCGTCTCTATGCGTTGTGTTCCAGGT